TATCACATTGCAGAAGTATTATGGATTGTATTATGGCCCATCAAATTCATATTGAGGTCCTGGCTCTCAGGATAACTATATTTGGAGGTGGGGCCTAGCTGGCAGGAGTTAAAGTTAAGTGAGGTCATAAGGCTGAGGCCCTCATCCAATAGCACTGGTGCCCTAATAAGAAAACAAGGAGACACTGTATCTCATTCACTTTCTTTCTGTCTCCTTCTCTTTCTCTTTCCTTCTCTTTCTCTCTCTTTCTCTCTCTTTCTCTCCCTCTCTCTTTCTCTTTCTCTCTCTTTCTCTCCCTCTCTCTTTCTCTCTCTCTCTTTCATTCTCTCTCTGTCCCCCTTTGTTCTTCCTCTCTCTCCTTTCACCCTTCCTCATTTCTGTCCCTAAAAACGGAGGAAAGGCCATGCAGGGACACAATAAGAAGATACCATCTATGATCCAGGAAATGGGCTGTCAATAGACATCAAAGATTCTGGTGCCTTGGACTTGAACTTCCTGCCTCTAGAACTGTGGAAAATAAATTTCAAAGTTTATAAGCTACCCAATAGAGATTGTTCTGTTACAGCAGCCCCATTAGGCTAAAGTGAGTTAATAAAGATCACAAGCAAGCCTGATCTGAAAGCCAAAAAGACCTATGCATTATTTTTAATTGCTGTCAGAGCAGAAGCTCATAATAAATAGAAACCATCAGCAATACTTTTTAGGCAGAGATGTAGCCATCTTTATGAGGAATGTGCTTTACTCTAAAGTATTTAGCTCACAATTAAAACTTTTAAAATTTACCTCACCTTTGGTTATAATGAACAAATGTTGAATTTTCTTTGCAGCCTGGTTCCCACGTGGAACATCTGGATAGTGTGAATGGTGCGTGCTTCATATTTTTCAGCCAAGGCCATCTCTTTTGCATCTCCTTAGCTGCAATTGTTATACGGGATTTTGTTGTTTTGTTTCAATGCATTGGTTTGGGCAAAGATTAATAAATTGCTTATATTTTTACCTCTGCAATCACTACCTTCAGGATTTTAGTTCTTCCTATACTGTCCTCTGACCCTGATTTTCTTCCTCTGGATTACACAAGCATAAGGAATAATGACATTTAATTATCAACTAAGATTTGAAAGCTTTATCACTCATTTTAGTTTGGCTTTAGAAATTCAACTTATTGCCTGCATTCTACCTTTTGAGTCAAAAAATCTGTTAGGAACAAAATAAGCCAAAATAAATCATTTGTTGTAAAAATATTAGAGTTAAAAGTAACCATAAGAAAAATAAAGGACTGTAACTACGTTTTACACATGAAATTATAAAAACACAAGTGGAAGATAGGGAAGTCTGGTAGTTGCACTAGAATGTAAGTTCCTGACATTCACATTAGTCTCTTTTGTTATGTGTTTATTCTGCAGGTCTTTAATAGTAGCTCCAGAGTCAAGTCTAGGATCTGGTTTGCAGTGAGACTATATATTCACCAGTTTGAATCAAAAGAAAAAAAAATGGAACAAAACAGCAGCATTTTCACAAAGAACATTTATACAATTTGTAGAACCACTGTGTAGACCATGCACATTGACCCTTTTGCAACACAATAGCACTTTTATGTGTACTTTGATGGAATATTAAGTTTCCAGGGTGGGGGCTGGGGACTTAGCTCAGCGGCAAAAGCACCTGCCTGGCAAGTGCAAGGTCGTGAGTTCGGTTCCCGGTACCAGAGAAAAACCAAAAAAAAAAATAAAATAAAATAAAATAAATCAAAACAAAAATCAAAAGTTTCCAGGGTGGCTTTTATGTTCAAAGTCAAGTGAAAGTTTTATGAGGACACTTGATATTTCTTTATGTTATTTACTTCAGTCTCTACATTCAGGAATCAGTGTGTGACTATGTGATCTGCATTTTGCAATTGTTTTCTACCTTAGCCCACTCTCCCAACCCTGAGAGTGACAGCCATGACTTTTGTGGCATGGGCATGACCTCCCTGTCCTGTTTTGAATCTGGCTCCCAGGTGCCTACCACTCCCCTGCAGTGCACCCAACTCAATCAGGACCTGGGGGCATTGGTTTGGCTATTGCAGCAGGCACAGAATCTGAGGGTTTTCTGTGCTGCTTTTACCTGAATGGATGATGTGTATCCTTCTGTGATGATGACAGTGAGTTTCACCAAGGGGTATTGGTATTAACAATATGTCTGTTTTAATCATGCCCAAAAGATGAAGTGTGTTTTCCACTTATTCCACATTGATGAACATTTCTGTTGTATCCATTTTCAGTCATTTGTAAGATGTCATGCAGTAAACACATGTGCACATATTTATAACCCACTGGTGTTGTATGCCTGCAAGTTATCCTTTCTGAAGCTAAATTTCTCAAATGAAGATGCAAAATTGTAATTTAAACCCAAAGTACCAGATCACCTCAGGGGAGACCAAGTGATTGCATCTGAAAAATAAGGAAACAAAAGTTAAGACAATTTAAATGTTATTCCTCTGAATCATCTTCAACAGGGAATGGGAAAACAGTGACCTGTGCTACTCTAGCTGCAAAGCTGTTGTTCTCAGTAAAATAAGTAATGTGGCCCTCTTTGAAAGATACATTCTACATAAATGTTTCACTAAATTCATAAGGCACCAAGAGTTTAAAGGAGAAAGAAGTGAAAATATTAAAAAGCTTGCCTGGATTAAATTAACTCTTTCAGGCTTTACACTAGAGAAACAATGTGGTGCTTGCACATGTATGTTTGATTTATTTCACTTATGAGTATGGTCTCTAGTTGTGACCATTTACCTATAAAAGCCTCGAGTTTATCTTTCTTTACAGCTGAGTAATATTCCATTATATAAAAGTACCACAATTTTCTTATCCAATCCTCAGTGGATGGACATTTGGGTTGCTTCCACATTTTAGCAATTACAAATTGTGCTGCTATGAACATAGGTGCACTGTGATATGATGTTTTTAGATCTTCTGGGAAAATACCCAGCAGGGGGATAGCTGGGTTGAATGGGACCTCTAGACCTAGTTTTCGGAGGAATCTCCAAACTGATTTCCACAGTGGTTTCACCAGTCTGCATTCCCACCAGCAGTGGAGAAGGGTTCCTATTTCTCCACAGCCTCGCCAGCATTTGTTATTGGCTGATTTCTTAATGCTAGCCATTCTTACTGGGGTAAGGTGGAATCTCAGTGTTGTTTTAATTTGCATTTCTCGAATGACTAATGGTGTTGAACATTTTCTCATATATTTAGTTGCCATTTGTATCTCCTTGTCTGAGAAGTGTGTATTCATCTCAGCTGCCCATTTTTGGATTGGGTCTTTGAATTTCAGGGGGCTGATATTTTTAAATTCTTTATATGTTCTAGATAGAAGCCCTCTGTCTGAGGGACAATCAGCTAAATTTTTTCCAAGTTTGTGGGTTTTCTTTTTACTTTGCTAGTGATTTCTTTAGATGTGCAGGAACTTTTCAGTAGGATGAGATCCCAGTTGTTAATTCTTTCAAGTGTTTCACATGCAATTTGGTTTTTGTTCATGAACTCTCTGCCTACCCCTATGTCTTCAAGGTTTTTACCTACTTTCTCTTCCAATAGCTTTAGTGTTTCTGGTTTAATATTGAGATCTGTGAACCATTTTGATATGATAGACATTGTGAATTGATAGGAAAGCACTCAAAGGTAAAGGGTAACTGGGATATGGGAAAAGAGAAGGGAAAGAAGGAGAAAGATTGTATGTATGTATATGCAGGATAGTTAACATGGCTGTTCTACTGTCTTGTATTTCCTTGCTGAAAGAAACTGTCAATGCGTCCTTGGTTGATCAGCTTTGTATGTCCTATCTGTTTCCATGAGAAACCACTTTGAAGATATCAATATGTAATACAACAAGCATTGTTAATTCCCTACCCCTCTGTTTGTAACTCTGTACTGTCTGTACTGATCCTTTGCTATTTTGTAAAATGTTGTCTGTCTGTTAGTATTTTTCAGCTTTTATTTTTAAAATATTAAAAAAATAAATGAAAAGCTTGCCTGGAAAGCAAAAATGAAGCAATACAATAAAAAATACATTTCACAGAAATGAGAAGAACCTATATGAAATGTAAAATTCCAGTTTGGAAATAGATTTTTAAATACATTTTATTTAAATACAATGAAAGAGAAAAAACTGTATTTCCATCTGTATTCTTAACGTCAAGTTTAATTAAACATACTATAAAATTTAAAAATAATATATACCAAATACATATATATAAAATAGACAAAGAAAAATGTATAAAATATATATAGAATTTAATAATGCTATATCAAGCAATAATTGTTCCTCAGTGAGGAAATTTATTATGTTGCACATATTAAATAATATTTCCTTCTAGCAGGCATGTAGCATTCATTGCATTAAAAATAAATCTGATTTTTAACATTTTCCAGTAAAATGAACTTTCAGTTTAACTGTTGTATTTGATCAGATTACAGTCCTTATTTAGTCATTTTATATGAGCTTGTTAAATCTAGAAAATGAGATACTGTGTACATGTCACTGAATCAGAATTGCCACTTTACCTAGGTCTTGCTGTTACTTTCTCAGTGAGTTTCCTTTGTTTCCGCCCTTTTCCCGCCTGAAAGTCTTCTTTAGGTAGGGAGAAGATACAATGGTTATTGCACACGGAGTTTTAGAAACGTCTTGGGAGGTAACGTTGGCCCTCAGGAACTGACAGAGGTTATAAACGCCCACTTTCTCTACGAGATACCCTGGTTCTCGGGGCAAATGCCTGTTTAACAAAAGGTTTACCCTTCTCTTTCAACAGCTCCTTCTGCCTCTGTGGGGCACTGATTTTATTTTCTAAGACTTAATTTTTAGTTCCACTACCATATTCATGTCTTATTCGTGTTTGAAAACAGACCACCCTTGGATCACAATTCTCCTCCATTCATCAAAGTATGTCTTTCCTTGCGTCACGCATATATAATTTGCTCCTCAACAAGCAGAGTATCAAAGTATCTGAAGTACCTGCCTCTGCTGAACTGAATAGTTTCGCCGGGGATCAGGCTGCTCTGCGAAGGTTTTGGTGAGCTCTACTGAAGTCTTCAATGTCTCTCTGCTGGCTCTGACTTTAACTTCAAATAGGAGGTGATCAAAATGTACTGTGAGTACCTGACACAAGGTACTCGTACCAAATACCCACAATGAATATAAACAGTCTAAATAAGAACTAAAAGTAAAAATAATAACAATAATGAAAATAGGGATGAGAATTTGGAAATGGAGAGAAGGAAGTAGGTAGGGAAGGGAAGGGGAACACACATATCTATTCCCTAAGATGAATATGAACATTATGTACAGCAAACATATATTAATACAAAAATATTTTAAAATTTTTAAAAATGATATTACAAATATATAGTGAATATTTAAATTTTAAAAATACATTACATTAAAAGATGCTGTGCCATTAATCCACCTCAAATTACTCTGGTTTCCAACACACTTACTCACTCTCTCTGAAGCAGTTTTGGAAGATATCTCTCATGAGTATCTTTGCAAGCTTTGATCAAAGGGCAAATGCTGCCTGCAAGCATATAGGTGAGTTAATGCCTGGAAAAAAGAAGACCAGATTCTTGGTAAAAAATAGCACTAGGCATGTATCATAGTCACAGAACTTCATTTCCTTCCTAATGATCCAAATACATGATGTCTTTATCTTTATTCTATTAAAAAGTTATACAACATTATTATCTCATTACTGTGAATGAAAATACACATTTCTGATGTTCTTTTTCTCTTCCTGACTATCCACTCTCATTTTCCCTCACTATCTCCACTTCCCTTTTCTTGTGTCTTTCTTCTTTGATCTTCTTCATTTCTCCCCATTTATTGCATTAAACACCAGTATTTCAACCTGAGTAAACATGATGTCCAAATTTCTATTCCAAGTTTTCATATCTCTCTTAAGTTTCTGACCAGAAGTAACAGGATTTTAGCATTCCTCCACATCAATATTTCATTAGTATTAAACATGGAAACTGCTGAAATCTGAATTGATTTTTTGCTCCACTCATATCTGTGCATTATTTGACTTAATGCAATAATGCAAAGTTCCAGGAGAGAAACATTAAATTAAACTCCTTTCTATCTTTTCAAGTATTTCTGACTTGCTTTCTGTACCTCACACTTCATCCATGTAAAGCAACTTTAATATGCAGATCCTGCAGTATTCTTCTGAACCATGGAGGCGTCTGTATAACTGTCCTACCTGGCATTCAACCTACTACTACTGATATTTGCTGAGAAACATGAGACCCAATCACCCTTCCTCAAACCTTCCGTGGTTCCACAGTATTAAATTATGAAGTTCTGGTCATGACATTATAAACATTCTGATGCACAGTTTTCTACCTACTGTCACTTTTCACTTCATCTGTTTACGAATATGTATTATTGGCCATCTTGAAACCATGGTTTGAACTTTTTTGTTTGTTTGTTTTTTTTTTTTTTTTTTTCCTGTACCGGGAATCGAACTCACGACCTTGCGCATGCCAGGCAGGCGCTTTTGCCGCTGAGCTAAATCCCCAGCCCCCATGGTTTGAACTTTTCTGCACTTTATTCTCATATGCCCAATTTGTACATTTAAAAACTTTACTTGTATCATAGTGTGTACTTTTCTATAATATTCCAACAGGTCTTGGATGTGACAAAACTAAAAGCACTTTGTATTTCTATAACTTGCTCAGTTGATTCTTATGAGCAGCTATCTTGGGAACTACTACAATAAATAGAACTTTGCATCAAAAACACAGCACTCAACCACATCATGGGTTTTTCTTTATCTCTCTGATACATTTGTAAATTTCTTTAGTATTATAAGTATTGTCTAATTTTTTATTCTTGAAGTATTGCCAAATAATATGCATATGGCACATACCATGTCCTCTACTATAAGAATTTGAAGAAAAAAGTCTAATACCAAGATGTTGAGAAAATGTGGAATTATAAGGAAATGGTTTGATTTTATTTAGCAATGTGTAAAGTAATACATCTTTACATATGGTAGATGCTAAGTATTTACTTAACAGATTAAGTTAGATTATGCATGCATGTGTATATAATTGAATGCTAAACAATAGTTTGGAATCTGAATTTTGAAACACTTAAGTTCAATATACACTGCGGATCCCAGTACCTGGGGTTGAATTTACAAGGAGCTACCTAATCTGAAGATTTTCATTCTTTTCAATACTTGTGTTCTCCTTCCTTTACCAATTTTCTTAGCCTTACACTTTGGAAGTCTGTGGACTCTTTGATCCACACACTCTCAGTGACCTACTTCTTTAGTCATTCCTTATATGCTTAAATTCCTGTTACTTCTCAGTTTTCTTTTAACACCTCTTTCTAGTCAAATCTCACTTTATCATCTCATCACAGCTGTTTCCCCTGCTGTTGCTATTTGATCTAACTAGTTTAATTTAGGAAGGTTTTTTTAGTCATCCAATGTTGCCTTCTCAAAGTTCCTTCCAAAACCCAAACAAAACATAATAAAGAAACCTATGAATTGGAAAGGAGAAAATAAAAGTACTTTAGTGAGATATGGAGCTACTCATATAATTTAATAAGCAACAAATCCTATAGATCAATATGGCTAAATTAGGTGGGTTGGAAGTTAAATAGATGTTCCTTTCAGGCTACTCACCGTCCTTGGTGTGTAGAACTTGCTGGGAATTCATAGGCACAAAAAGTTGGTATCATACAATACAATCAAGCAGTGGCTAGAAATTCTAGCTGCATCTTTCTGGAATACAGCATTCTTTGTTAAAAAATATAGTCCTGAGACCTTTCTTTCTTTTTTGTTACTTTTAGAAGATTTGTAGTTATATAATGTAAATTTATTAAATAATATCCTAAGAACCATAATTCTTTTTTTTTTTTTTTTTTTTTTTTTTGGTTTTTCTCCGGTACCGGGAACCGAACTCACGACCTTGCACTTGCCAGGCAGGCGCTTTTGCCGCTGAGCTAAATCCCCAGCCCCCTAAGAACCATAATTCTATTAGACTGCCATTTGAGGTATTATATAACTGCTTCAAAATAACAATAAAACCAGAAAAAGAAAAAAATGCAAAGTTATCATAGAAGAAATACAAAAGAAATTCTGTGGTTGTTCTGAATTATTCAAGTGAATTTGTTAGTCATAACAAAAATATAATTACTCTACTTATGAATAGAATAAAGTAAAAGCAGTTAACTTATAAGATTCACATTTACAGCATCTATAATTATAAAGAATTTACTTCCATTAATCCAAACATTTTGCCTAGAATCTACTATCTTCCACAAATCATTGCAATTTCAGTGAAATAAAATCTTTGTGATTAAAAAATTGTCAGTATAATGCAAGGCATACCATTTAAAACACTACTTGAATGACTTCATCGCTGAAAGAGTAGTACTAAAGAATTGTTTCTGAGAAAAATTCTCACTTTAATAGAATGATTCATCTTATAACAAATTTTCAGACAAAAGCCACCTTATTTAACATCATAGCAACTATATGAGGTAGTCATTATTAGTTTGCAAGTGAAGAAATGGACATGTAGAGCAATTTGAAATCCAAGTTTATATAATTAGTGAATTTTTAAAAAGGGATTTAATTTCTTAACTGCAAAATCTAAGTCAAATATTCTTTTTATTTCCATGGTGGATTTGCTGTGTATTCCAAAATATTGGTTGGTTCAAATTATCCTTCAAGAAAGGATGCCAGAAGAATTAAAATGATAGACTCATGCATTTATGAGAACATGTGGACACATACATGCACACATAGTTATAGTTCAGCTCTAAAATGCCTTTCAAAAGTCTCATGTTTAGAGTTGGGGTTTTTGGAAGGTGATTGATTCACAGGGCCCCTAAAATCATTGGTGGATTAATCCATTGATGAATTTGCAATTGGATTTCCTGCTCGGAGGTGAAACCAGGAGGTGAACAGTTGCCCTGTGCCATGACTCTGTTTCTGCCTTGGACTCAGCAGATCTTGGACTGAACCCACTGAAACTGCAAGCCAAACAAACCTTTCTTCCATGAAGTTACATGTGTAGGGGCCACTCCACCAGTGGTAGGATAATGGCTAATATATACATATACATACCACACTCTCTATGGTAGGAATTTGAAATAAGATAATCTAAAACCAAGCTGTTGAGAAAATGTAGAATTATAAGTAAATGGCTTGAGTTTATTTAGCAAACAGCATATGCCCATTAATTTGAAAGCTCATCTTTTCTGCTAGAAACGAAAATTTAACATCACCACCCACATTTTTGCAGCAAACTTGCACAAGGAATATCCTTGTCTAAGAGACATAAAATAAGCAGATGTATTCCATGATGCTGTGGTAGATTCTACTAACAGCCAGGAAAGCTACGTATGAAGAAAAATGAGGAGAATGAGGATGCTGTCTTATTGCGGTCATGACTAAAGGAGATAAGTGCTCAGCAAGCTATGCTGAGAAGATGGTGCTTGAACAGAGTTTTAAGATTTTAACCATGACTAAGATTTACTAACCAGACAGGTAAGGACAAGCTATTCAAATTATGTGCAAAACAAAGAATTCAGTTCAATTGTTAAAATTCTAATTTACCAAGAATATTTGTAGTCATTTTTCAGTCACCAATTATCAATTTTTGAGAAGATTAGAAGTACCTGAATGGATTGTATTCTTCATATTTAATCATGTTTATGTAAGCCATGGGATTGTTTGCCAACTGTTACTCAGAACACACAGGGACGATCATTACTTGTCATGTCCGCTGTTGGTGAGATCCCAAGTTACAGAGTAGCTGGTAACTAGTGTGCTCATCTTATCTGCCAGAAACTTAAAACAGAATCCAAAGGAATCAGCACTACCATCCCTAGAAGTCCCTAGATCCCTTCTGCTTTTCCTAGAAGTCTCTGATCATGGACAACCACTACTTAACCACCTTCCAAGAGCTCAAAATTGTCTGACTTCATTATCTCCCTTTTATCTAAGATAGAAAGGGTATTCCACTGGTTAAAAGCTTTTTCACATTTCAAGCAGTTATTATGTTGTCATTGGCAAACCATGCATTTTTGGCATGGTTAACGCATCTCATCTAACTAACAGTCAGCCTCTCAAGTATGTTAGTTTTCTGTCTGAATAGGTTTTCCTGGTTCATATTCTGCTTGTTCCTTGGGGAAAGAAATAATTACTCACCTACCAGCTCCTTTGATGAGTTCACAGGACATACATTGTAACCCTGGTTTCTATTATAGACCTAGACAATTCTTATTTATTACTCTTGTAGGTCAAGGCACAGCTCTACATGATGTGGGAGTTAAGTCATTCCTTAAATTACTTCCTGTAAATAAGACTCATTAACCGCAGTGACCTGAGAAAACGTTCATTTAAGATGCTGCACAGCTAGGAGAGTCCTCTATTAATCCCTCTGCTGCTGTGGCTTCAGCTTGCTTTGCTCCTTACTAGACTGTATTAATTTTTGGCTCCCTACAGCTGCAAGAGGAACTCCTCTTGTCTTCCTCCACATTCCCTCTTTCTTTATATGCACAGCTGAAGATTTGCTATTTACATCAAAATAGAAAGAGGAAATCACTGAGAAATTTGATTTTGGCATTCTGAAGAGCCATGTAAAATGCCCATAGAAACTGGCTTCAGTTGTTCCCCATGTCAATAATGAGGTATTATTCTTGGAGATCATTCATAAGACATATCAGCAATATAGACCTAAAGTAAATACAATAATTTGAAACTTTTTGAAAAATAAACTTTGAAGTGCCCTAAATTATTTAAATGTCTAGTAATTTGTATGATATCCATATTTATCCTATGTCTAATCAGCCCTACATATTTTATTAGATAAAAGATGAACTTTAATAGCAAAGTAATCTTACACATTGTCAATCATAAACAGAATCTGATCAACACAGATGCCTTTTCACACATGATATGAAATGGATGTAAGAGGAAGCTGCATTTGATATGGAAGGTAAAATGCTCCAGACAGACAGGAAAGAACAGCAGAAGTGAAAACTGATATTCTGCTAACACTAACTCTTAACTGTCACTGCCATGTCCTTCCATTTTCTGAGAACAATGTGAAAAACCAGTTGTTATTCTTATAGACAGAAAAATAAAAATAAAGACCAATTTTATTATTTATAGATCTACAATCTTAAGGATTGTAGATCTATATCATTGCCAGTTCTCTAATTTGTGATCATCTGTGTGAGGTTAAAGGAATGTCCTAGACGTATGCATGTCCTAACACAGCATTTCTTTCTTACCTTTGCAAATGCACTGCAGCAGCAAAGAGCACTAGGTGTGCATGAGTCACACCATTCTGGAATATGTGACGTAACTGCTGGCTCGGCTAGAGGAAGAGATGCTGCCAACACAGCAGCGAGAGTTCTTCCTGAGAGCAGTTTTGTGCTGATTGGCCTTGCTGAAGGGCAAAAAAAAGTATAGAATGATCCTGGTCAGAAAGGATAGTTTAAAAAAGTAGAAAACGTGGTATGCACTTTAGAAACACTGTAAATTCCCAGATTACCTTCATATTTTAAATTTCCTCTATGATAACATTTTTTCTGACTAAGTCAATATTTCCGGTCTCTGGGAAGATCAAATACTCATCCAGAAAGACCTCATACAATAGAAATCAAATTCTCAGTACCTGGTAACTATGAAGGTATCATATATGGGACTCCATTCTTTATCAAGTTCACAATCTAGCTCAGGAAGCAGCACTAAGACAGGCAATAACTGGAGAAAGATTATGTGTTAAATAGTGTGCAACTCAGTACTATATGGGGTCACATGCATAGAAATAGCATACTTCTCTAGAGTAAGCATGAAGCATTGCATTTGTAGGAAATATGTGGGATTTATAACATCCCCAAAGACAACAAATAGAATTCCAGGAAGAACAAATAATAGTAGCAGGAGGAAAAAGCAGTGAAATAAACTCACTATATACATAAGAAACTGAAGAGATGCCCCTGTTCACAACAGAGTGTAGTAGTTAAGATGCTGTAATAGAAATAGAAAGCAAACTCTAAGTGGATGTTGGAAACATACTTATATACGGGACATCTATCAGCCATTGTGAATTCACAGGAATATCTAACAGTGATGTGGAAGAAGGATGGGAAAGAAGGAATGACACCAATTCCAGTTAACAAGTGCGGTAGGTAACTGAATACCACAACCTTATTTCCTTTGTCTGGAAACCCGAGCAGTATCTCCCTCATAACACATGCTTAAACATATTTTTTCTTTAAATTAATATTGACTCCACTTGTCCTTTGTGAGTTGCTAGGATTTTGAATCAAATTGAGAGTGCTTTCAAAACCACAAAGCAAAATGCAAATCTGAGCTACTAATTGTATTAAGGGAAGAATAACAGGACAAGATTTAGAGGATAGCATTAAAGTCTTCCCTAATTTTAAAACTGAAAAAAGGGAAAGCCTTGCGTCATTAAGATGTGGGCTGGTTCTGATCAGAACTTATTTCTGAGTGCATTTCAGAATGACTTAATTCTCACATGAAGCAAAACTCTGCTTAGTGAAGCACACATAAGAGATCATAATAAAAACGTGTAATGACAGCAGAACACAATCACTGTTTAAACCAGAATAGGCGAGGTGTCATGACCAGTAGAGCCTGTGAGTTGTATTCATTTTCTCTTATGGTTCCATTCCCCTCTAGAAAATAGAAATTGTTCTTTATTTCCAGTATCTCCTCTAAAGTCAT